ACATATACTCAGAATGTCTGGGTACCATAACCACTTGACCCAACTGGGAGTTAATCTTCCTGTTGATAGTGTCATTGACAGAGTTCTTCAATCACTACCACCAAGCTACAAGAGCTTCATGATGAACTATAATATGCAAGGGATGGATAAGACGATTCCCGAGCTCTTCACAATGCTAAAAGCTGCAGAGGTAGAAATCAAGAAGGAGCATCAAGTGTTGATGGTTAACAAGACCACCGGTTTCAAGAAAAAGGGTAAAGGGAAGAAGAAAGGGAACTTCAAGAAGAACAACAAACAAGTTGCTGCTCAAGAGAAGAAACCCAAGTCTGGACCTAAGCCTGAGACTGAATGCTTCTACTGCAAAGGGACTGGTCACTTGAAGCGGAACTACCCCAAGTATTTGGCGGATAAGAAGGATGGCAAGGTGAACAAAGGTATATGTGATATACATGTTATTGATGTGTACCTTACTAAAGCTCGCAGTAGCACCTGGGTATTTGATACTGATTCTGTTGCTAATATTTGCAACTCGAAACAGGGACTACGGATTAAGCGAAGATTGGCTAAGGACGAGGTGACGATACGCGTGGGAAATGGTTCCAAAGTCGATGTGATCGCCATCGGCACGCTACCACTACATCTACCTTCGGGATTAGTTTTAGACCTGAATAATTGTTATTTGGTGCCAGTGTTGAGCATGAACATTATATCTGGATCTTGTTTGATGCGAGACGGTTATTCATTTAAATCTGAGAATAATGGTTGTTCTATTTATATGAGTAATATCTTTTATGGTCATGCACCCTTTAAGAGTGGTCTGTTTTTAATGAATCTCGATAGTAGTGATACACATATTCATAATGTTGAAGCCAAAAGATGCAGAGTTGATAATGATAGTGCAACTTATTTGTGGCACTGTCGTTTAGGTCATATTGGTGTAAAGCGCATGAAGAAACTCCATTCTGATGGACTTTTGGAATCACTTGGTACTTGCAAACCATGCCTCATGGGCAAGATGACTAAAACACCATTCTCCGGAACTATGGAGCGAGCAACGGATTTGTTGGAAATCATACATACTGATGTATGTGGTCCCATGAATATTGAGGCTCGCGGCGGGTATCATTATTTTCTCACCTTCATAGATGATTTGAGCAGATATGGGTATATCTACTTGATAAAACATATGTCTGAAACGTTTGAAAAGTTCAAAGAATTTTAGAGTGAAGTGGAAAATCATCGTAACAAGAAAATAAAGTTTCTACGATCTGATCGTGGAGGAGAATATTTGAGTTACGAGTTTGGTCTTCATTTGAAACAATGCGGAATAGTTTCGCAACTCACGCCACCCGGAACACCACAACGTAATGGTGTGCCCGAACATCGTAATCGTACTTTACTAGATATGGTGCGATCTATGATGTCTCTTACTGATTTACCGCTATCATTTTGGGGTTATGCTTTAGAGACAGCTTCATTCACGTTAAATAGGGCACCATCTAAATCCGTTGAGACGACGCCTTATGAACTATGGTTTGACAAGAAACCAAAGTTGTCGTTTCTTAAAGTTTGGGGCTGCGGTGCTTATGTGAAAAAGCTTCAACCTAATAAGCTCGAACCCAAATCGGAGAAATGTGTCTTCATAGGATACCCAAAGGAGACTGTTGGGTACACCTTCTATCACAGATCCGAAGACAAGACATTTGTTGCCAAGAATGGATCCTTTCTAGATATGGAGTTTCTCTCGAAATAAGTGAGTGGGAGGAAGGTAGAACTTGATGAGGTAACTGTACCTACTCCCTTATTGGAAAGTAGTCCATCACAGAAATCGGTTCCTGTGGCACCTACACCGAGGAAGGCCATGATGATGATCATGAAACTTTAGATCAAGTTACTACCGAACCTCGTAGGTCAACCAGAGTAAGATCCGCACCAGAGTGGTACGGTCCTGTTCTAGAGGTCATGTTACTTGATCATGACGAACCTACAAACTATGAGGAAGCGATGATGAGCCCAGATTCCGCAAAATGGCTTGAGGCCATGAAATCTGAGATGGGATCCATGTATGAGAACAAAGTTTGGACTTTGGTTGACTTGCCCGATGATCGGCAAGCCATCGAGAATAAATGGATCTTCAAGAAGAAGACTGACGCTGACGGTAACGTTGTTGTCTACAAAGCTCGACTTGTTGCAAAAGGTTTTCGACAAGTTCAAGGAGTTGACTACGATGAGACCTTCTCACCCATAGAGACGCTTAAGTCCGTCCAAATCTTGTATCAGTGAGCTGGCACAGCTCGTAAAACACTGGCTACATTTGACATTACTTATAATGCTTTCTCCTAGACAAGTGTATCAGTGAGCTGGCACCACTCATAAAGCACTGGCTACATTTGACATTACTCGTAATGCTTTCTCCCAGACAGGTGTATCAGTGAGCTGGCACCGCTCATAAAGCACTGTCTACATTTGACATTACTAGTAATCTTTCTCCCAGATAGATGTATTAGTGAGCTAGCACCTCTCGTAAAGCATTGGCTACATTTGACATTACTCGTAATACTTTCTCCTGAACATATGTATCAGTGAGCTGGCACCGCTCGTAAAGCATTGTGTACATTTGACATTACTCGTAATGCTTTCTCTCACACGGATGTATCAGTGAGCCGTCATCGCTCGTAAAGCACTAGCTACATTTGACATTATTCGTAATCCTTTCTCCCACATAGATGTATCAGTGAGCTGACATCGCTCGTAAAGCACTGGCTACATTTGACATTACTCCTAATGCTTTCTCTCAGACATATGTATCAGTGAGCTGGCACCGCTCGTAAAGCACCAACTACATTTGACATTACTCATAATGCTTTCTCCCGGACAGACGGATCACTGAGCTGGCACCGCTTGTAAAGCATTGTGTACATTTGACATTACTCGTACTGCTTTCTCCCAGACGGATGTATCAATGAGCTGGCATCGTTTGTAAAGCACTGGCTACATTTGACATTACTCGTAATCCTTTCTCCCAAATGGATGTATCAGTGAGCTAGCACCGCTCGTAAAGCACTGGTTACATTTGACATTACTAGTAAGGCTTTCTACCAGACAAATGTATCAGTAAGCTGGCACCGGTCTTAAAGCACTTGCTACATTTGACATTACTCGTGATGCTTTCTCCTAGACAGATGTATCAGTGAGCTGGCATCGCTCTTAGAGCACTAGCTACATTTGACATTACTCGTCATGCTTTCTCCCGGACAGACGTATCAGTGAGCTGGCAACCATCACACTGCTCCTTTACTTCTTTTTTGCGGTTAAAAACAAAGAAGTAAAGGAGTAGCATGCGGGTTGCTACCCCTTTACTTCACTGGCGTGCTTTTCACGTATGGCGTTATTAGCAGAGCATCGTCGTTGATCATCAACAGCCATATGACGTGCTTTTCACGCATGGCGTTATTAGCAGAGCATCGTCGTTGATCGTCAGCAGCTGTATGACGTGCTTTTCACGCATGGCGTTATTAGCAGAGCATCGTCGTTGATCGTCAATAGCTGTATCACAAGTTTAGTACCACCACGAGAGGGACCACTCTCGTGTCATGTTGTTCCACATGCTCGTTCTGAGAGTTGTGATGATACTACCATTATGACATCTCACCATCTAAATTTAGATACAACATAGAAATTAGGCATGTTCTCTCTTGCGCCATAAAACAACATCGAAAACCTAGTGTGCTTTCCTTAAAAAAAGGGCTAACCGATGGCGACTAATAAAACCCACAACGAGTAATCGCCTCTAAACCCGCCGGGCTAAGAAAAGGATAAAGATCAGAAAAGAAGAACAATTAATCTTTATTACCAATTCACCCTCTCAGATCTTCACATAAAACCAAAGAAAAAGAGAAAAAAGAGAAAATTACAATAAAGAAAAGTCCCGAGTTGCAATTGGTAGAGGACAAATAAAATAGGAGGAAAAGGAGGAGACGTGGAGGAGGAGGGGAATCCCAAGCCAAGCCAAAGCCTCCCCCGGTGAGCCGTGGTCGTCCGCGCTTCCTCCCACCCACCAGCCCCCGCCCCCGCCCCATCCGCCACCTATATCATCCCCGGCCCCTAACCCTAAACCCCCCTCTTTTCCCCTCGCAGCTCGCCACTGTACCACTAGTACCACCACTGCCCCCCTGGCCTGCTGCTGCAGCTGCTAGTCTCCCCTGGTGGCGGCTCGCCTCCCTCCCCTCCTC